AGCAGGAAGGGAAGCTGGTGCCAGGGTAAGGGGGACATCAGGTGTCTCCACAGGCTCAGACAGGCAGCGGTTGCATGCCTGCGTGTTGGCGCATCTGTGTGCCTGACCAGGGTGGGTACAGGGGTGCAGGGCTATGGAGCCACCCCAGGCCTCATGTCTGCATTCCCCTCCCCCCCAGATTACTCAATGCGCCACATTGGCCAGTTCTTTCGTTCCAACTATGTGTTCCTGTTCCAGCTTCCCTGGCTGCCCGAGAGGTTGTTGTCCATGTCTGACTTCCAGGTGAAGTAGAGTGAAGGCCTGGGGCGGCTGTGGGTGGAGGGCAATTGGTTGGGTAGATGGAGGAGCACTGAAGCCAGAGTCTTGCTTTGTTATCAGATCCTGAAGACCACCCTCACCCACCATAAGAGGGGCATCCCACGCTTGAACCCCAATGAGCTTGAGGCCTTCCTTTATGACTTCTCACAGCCCGGTGGCCTCATTGGGCCCCTCAATTACTACCGAAACATCTTCAGGTAAGTCCAGACCCAGGCAGAAGCTCAGGGGAGTTGGTGGGGAAGGAGGCGGGGGCAGCCATCCTTCTGTCTGTCTTGTCTCGGTCATAGGAACTTCCCCCTGGAGCCCCAGGAGCTGGCCACGCCCACCCTGCTGCTGTGGGGGGAGAAGGACAGCTACTTCGAGCACGGGCTGGTCGGGGCCATCAGCAGGCGCTTCGTGCCCGGCCGGCTGGAGGCCCACATCCTGCCAGGCGCGGGCCACTGGATCCCACAGAGCCACCCTGAGGAAATGCACCAATACATGTGGGCCTTCTTACAAGACCTGCTGCACTAGTGGCCCTTGCTCACTGGCCTGCGTGCCCCTGGGAGACCGCACCGTGTGCATACCCAGGTGCTCTCTTGGACCGTGCATAGGGTGGAACTCCTAGATTGCACACACGAGCATCTGTGGGTGTCCTAGAGCACACCAGCCCGTATACTCACAGGCATGAGTGTGACCTGTGAGCAAGCACTTTGACTCCAGGAAACCAGGGCTGCCTCTGGTGGAGCTAAATGCGATGTTCTCTCTCCCTTCCCTGGAGCCCCAGTTTTCTTGCCAGAATCAGCACCCTGAAACCCCGAAAGTGAACTTTTACTTTCCTGTCCCTGGCTTCTATCTCCATCCAGTCTGGGTTTTCAGCTAAATGCTGTTTGTCCAATACATACAGTACTGGTAGTCACATCTGGCTACTTTGATTTAATTGCAAATTAATTAAAATTTAAATACAATTAAAAATGCGGTTCCTCAGTCACACTAGCCATCTTTCAAGGGCATCAACATAAAAAGTTCTGTCAGCCTGGCCAGTGTGATTCAGTGGTTGAGCATCGACCTATGAACCAGGAGGTCACTGTTCAATTCCCTGATAGGGCACATGCCCGGGTTGCGGGCTTGATCCCCAGTAGGGGGCATATGGCATTGATGTTTCTCTCTCAAGCAGAAGGGGGATCTGAAGAAAACTTCTATCTACCAAGCATGAGAAACTTGAAACACGATTATTTATAAAAGTTCTATCAGACAGTGCTGATGAGGATGTTCCTAGTGCTGGGGGCCTCCTGCTTGGCTCCTGATCACCTCTCCAATGGATGACCCCTGGGGAGGCAAGTGGCTGCCCAGAATCCTCTCCAGCTAGGTCCTGGACAGCACCCTCCCATGATGACCCAGTCCCAACTCCAGGCCTTGAAAGGTCAAGTTCTCTCACAGCAGCCTAGGAAAGATGCCTGGGATCTTGTCTCAGGTCCATGGGAAAACAGCTCTTGGCTCCCCTAGGATATGTGAGATTCTGGATTGGGCACAGGAAGGGACCAGCTGGCTGCATGGCCATCTAGGGTCTGGGGCCTGCTTCTCCAGCTCTTGGAGTCATCTGTTCCAAATTCACCGGTTTCTGTTGATAACTTCTGGGGCCCCGGACTCCAACCTCCCAATGAGGGTGGTACAAGTCAAGGGTGGATTGCCTGCCTCAGACTAGTCACAGCATCAGCCTCTATGTCCCTAACCTTTGTCTGGCCTTTGGGGACAGTACCATGACCTACAGTATGATAAATCTCTCTGGGGATCCAGCAGACCTCACACATACATTCTCATCTCTGGGGTGGGCCTGCCTGGCCAGAGGGTCACACCAGTCGGCCCTCCCTTGTCTCCAATGTAACATCCTTTTTAAAAAATAGATATATTTTTTCTTTTATTGATTTCAGAGAGAGAGATAGAAACATCAATGAGAGAGAATCATTGATGGGCCACCTGCTGCACACCCCCTACCGGGGATCAAGCCCACAACCTGGGCATGTGCACTGGCCAGGGATCAAACCCTGACCTCATTCATCGGTCGATGCTCAACCACTGAGCCACACCGGCCAGGCCCAGTATAACATCCTTTTGTTGTGGGTGGCAGGAACAGGCACCAGGTGTGACAGCCATGGGTCAGACCGGACCTGGGTTCAGCAACCTCGGTACTTGAATTCTGCGGGCTAGGCAAGAATTCAGAGCAAAGACTCAAAACTGTAAGAGAAAATTTATAAAATCACAGAGATGGCCCTGACAGGTTTGGCTCAGTGGATAGAGCGTCGGCCTGCGGACTGAGGGGTCCCAGGTTCGATTCCAGTCAAGGGCATGTACCTTGGTTGCGGGCACATCCCCAGTAGGAGGTGTGCAGGAGGCAGCTGATCGATGTTTCTTTCTCATCAATGTTTCTAACTCTCTATCCCTCTACCTTCCTCTCTGTAAAAAAATCAATAAAATATATTTTTTAAAAAAATCACAGAGATGAAAGAAGTATTTTGTAGAAAAACTGGGCTTAGGAAACAAGTTATAGAGGCAAAGGAAGGGACATTGGACCTTAGAAGTGAGGAAGGTAAAGGTGACTCCCCCGGGGGAAGGAGAGGGGGAAGAGAAAGGCACTTGCCTGCTCCTGGGAGGGAGAGCACCCTGGGTGCTCTGTCCTAAAGGTCTTAAGGGTGGAGATGTTAGGGGAGGTCCCAGGGGGACATCTCAGTAGAATATTCAGCAGCTTTCCAGATGTGTCCTTCCAGGGGGTCATTATTCAGTGCAGCGGGTCCTGGTGTCAGCTGTGCTGTTAACTTGTCTGGCTTGGCTGCTTTTCTGGGCCTGGAGCTGAAATACAACCGAGGCCTCCAGAGAGCGAAGGTCAGGGAGTCCAACCCCAAACCGCAAGACCAGCGACATGCTAGGGGAGAAAGGTCACCCTGGGAGGAGGTCCCACCCTACAACTGTCCTTTGCGAGGCGCCCAGGGCCTGCTGCCCTAGTGACCTTCCGTACCTGGCCTGTCGTCCTTGCTCTGCTCATGTCTGTCTGTGTGCCCATCCCCGCCCCCACCCCCCCAAGGATCTTGGCGCTGGATTCTTTCA